CACTTTCTGCAGTTTGCAGTTGCAATTTTTTAAGAAATTTTTATATGGTTTATAATTATTTAATTTTTCTGTACCTACATATATACAATTTATATATTAATAATTTTGTTTTTTCAGCTAATTGTACATGGATTATAATTTTTAGTTTAAAGATACTTAAGTTTTATTTATGAATTCTTTTTTAGTTAATTTTTACGTTGTTTATAATTTTGCTTTTTACATATCAACATTTTAATATAGACATCGTCATATATAGCAATACAGTTAAGACGACTTTCTATTTTTAATTTTAATTTCTGCAAAGCTTTTTTCAAACATCAGGGATACAAAGAGAAACTTGCCAATTTGTAATTAGAAAATGATTTTTTTTTAATTAAAACTTGACTACAATATTCCGCCTCATTGTATTGATATAAACACGGACCACTATATATTAATTTTAATGAATTTTTCCAGTTGCAAAACAATATGTTTTAGAAGTTTTTTAACAACTAATAGGTCTTACTTTTAAAATATTTTGATTCTTATATTCTTTTATGGATTTAGATTTTCATTTGTTGGCATATTCAAATTTTTTAACTTTACCAAATACTTTTGTATTTTACAGATACCTATAAATAACATTAAAATCCTTTTCCTAATTTAAATAGTAATTATTTTTTATGTATTTTTTGCTTTAGAGATCACAGTCTGGGGTTAAACTGTGGAATTTGGGATTATTGCGCCTCCATTATCAATATTTTTGGGACCAGAGCTGATGCTATTATACCAGATAGGTAGGTATACTTGGGGCCAGATCTGATACTATTATACCACTATTATACCAGATAGGTGGTATACTTGGGACCAGATCTGATACTATTATACCAGATAGGTAGGTATACTTGGGACCAGATCTGATAATATTATACCAGATAGGTAGGTATACTTGGGATCAAAGCTGATGCTATTATACCAGATAGGTAGGTATACTTGGGACCAGATCTGATACTATTATACCAGATAGGTAGGTATACTTGGGACCAGATATGATACTATTATACCAGATAGGTAGGTATACTTGGGACCAGATCTGATACTATTAAACCAGATAGGTAAGAAACAAGCATACTTGGGACCAGTCGATATGATACTTATTTCTCCAATTTTAAAGGTAAAAAAGGCAGACCACATTTTTGATTTTGCTTAAAATTCCAGACTAAACCTAATATAATAAACTTTTGTTTATGAGTTAGTTATATCAACTCGATGATGGTTGACTGTTACTATGTTAATATTACTTTATCAATATGGTAAAAATATATTTCTTCAATTACAAAAATTTACCAAACTTGGTCATTGAACATTTTTTATTTCAATTTTGTTTCAATGATTTGACGTTATGTATCCATCCATGTTAGATAGTTCAAATTTAATCAGGACCGCGAAGGAAAAGTAGTTTTACTAGTCAAAACTAGTTCAGCTACCTCTCTTTTATTCATAAATATCCATATATGAATGTTTAAACAGATTAAAGAGTAGATGAAGCAGGCTATATATTTTAAAAAATCAATCATTTATTTAATTTGATTCCGGGATCCAATTTAGAATTCAATTTTGATTCATTTATTTCTAATTTAGAATTTTCTATCTAAATGCAAAAGCATTCATCAAAAGACAGAATTTAAACAAGAATTCTACAGAAAAATATAAAACAACAATAAACTTTCTGTCTGTGTATTTTAATCATTGTTTTTTTGTTTTTAAACACTAAAAATGACAAGATATCATCTTAATTTTGTGTTTAAATTTATGGGGTAATATAAGAGAGAAATTTTTAGCTGTTCAAATTACAAATCTCCTAAGTTTTAGCATTCTAAAATTCTTAAAATTGTTATCATAATTAAAAGGAATTAAGCCACAAACTCAAATTTTCTAATCCCTTCATCTTTGCAACATGATAGTGTAATCCATTGAAATTACAAACTTAGGTTTTTTATCTGAACAGATTCAAAAGACTCAATTCCTTTGTTGCATAAAACAACTATTTAAGTGTATTGATTTGTTGTAGGAATATCATTTTGAAAATCATTTTGATTTAGTTGCTAAGTAATTCAACTTTGTTCTTAAAATCAAGAATTCACGTTTAAAAATTATCAATTTCAAGATAATAGTTTCCTTATTAGCAAGAAGGTCTTTTATATGTTTATTGTTAAGGAAGAAATATGTGAACATGGAGAAACATTTTATGAAGAGTTATCTCAACCTGGTTGTCAAAACATGCAGGAACTATTTTTTATCATTTTTTTTCAATTACGAATTAATAAAAACTATATTTTCAATTGATTTTGTTGATTATGACGTTGATAGGATTTAAAATAAAATTACAGTTAGCTATATTTGTACTCTGACAGTAATAATGAGGAAAACCTCCTCAAAAAATTCGCTCTACCGTATTTATTATTTTTTACCATTGAAAATATTTTGGATCTGCTAAAAAAGCAAACTTTAAAACTAAAAATTTTGTATTATATATGAAATACTAAGGTTTAGTGAATCCTTAACTGACCTATAAAATAACAATATACAATCTATGCCTTATTCAAATTACAAGAGTTTCTTTACGCATACTAGACTTGCAGCGAAACAAGTTAACATGTAAAATTTTGTATTATATATAAAATACTAAGGTTTAGTGAATCCTTAACTTACCTATAAATTAACAATATACAATCTATGCCTTGTATTCAAATTACAAGAGTTTCTTTGCGCATACCAGACTTGCAGCGAAACAAGTTAACATGTAAAATAACAATATACAATCTATGCCGTATTCAAATTACAAGAGTTTCTTTGCGCATACTAGACTTGCAGCGAAACAAGTTAACATGTAAAATATCGACAAAAAAGTTAAACAAACTTTTCTCAGCAATTCTTTTTTTAAGAAAAAGAATATAAAATTAATAATAAAGATCCCGTGGTGCCCCAGCAACTGGAGGAATGGCTGCAGCAGTGTTCAGCTCAGGATTAAGGTGTTTAGTAATACTAACCACTTCTGTATGCCGAGTCCATTAGCACCTGATCCATCATTATAGTGATGAAGAAGTGCGAAGTAAAACAGCTGACGTGGTTGAGAGTAAACGTAGTGAAATTCTAGCTGGAGTCTCAGGATTCCTTATTTATGATTTCAATCTTATCCAACCTATCCGGTAAATCTAGAATATATCATTTAGGGAATATTCAGAGAAGGACATATTCAGTTTTCTTACAAGGAGGGCTTCGCACTAGTAGTTTTTCATACTTAGAGTGATTTTTCCACCTTTGGCATTTTTGGATTGTCTTTGAAACTAGTTTTATTGAAAAAACATAAACAAATGTTTCAAACATGGCTCTGTACACTGATTAAAATAGAACACATGTTAGGGATGTATTTTGATTAACAATGCTAAGGATTTGATGAATCGTGTGTGAGATTCGTTTGGAAATTCTATCAGTGACATGGGTGGACCGAGCTTGACAATCACCGTTAACTTTCCGTTGTTTGTTTACAATGAAACTAGTTTGAAAGCTGTTCTATTACGTCATAGTAAAATGTAAATAAACACTAAACCTCTTTCTTTTTGTTTATTAAGTTTTACAATTGAGAAGATATGAATTTAATCCTAGAACCTTGTGGAAATCTACCTTTGTCTCACCTACTCTACATAAAGAGAAAGGTAATAAACGATTTCTGATTTTTCCAAAAACTAAAATGTTCTAATACCTATATCTTTGCAACCTGATGGTGTAATCTTTGGATATAGCAACCTTTGATTAGTCAATTAAACAGAATTATCTAAGGTCAACGATATCAGGTTGGTACAGTACATAATTTTCCGTTCGTTCCTTCTCAGCCAAAGAATTAGAAACAAATTATGGGTTAAAGAGACCTGATTCACATTTATCCACTTATCTCTTAAAAATGTGATTTCAGAACATTTGAATATTTCTTCTGTTGACCTTCTTTCCCTCCCGGCAGGTAAAAATCAATCAATCAATAAATTAAATTGTCCATTAATTTTATATAATATTATTCAATCAATTAACATGTAAATGAATCAATAAGCATGTTAATTACAATTGTTAATCAATCAATTAACATATTAAATAGTCAATTTATATGTTAACTAACCAACTATTATGTTAATTAACCAACTATCATGTTAATTAACCAATTATCATGTTAATTAACCAACTTTAACTTTAATCAATAAATCAATTAATTAAATTTATATTAGATAATTTATAAATCAATGGATTACTTTAAGTACAAGGATAACCAGAAAACTCTGGAATAGTAAGATGACTTTTAGAATAAAGTTTTAACTTTGAAAAGTTCAATGACGACGAAAAAGACCCATTTCACAAAATAAGTGATTTTACAAGTGTCTGGTAAAACCATTTGCTTTGTAACACCATCAAATACACTTAAGTATTGCTATAATGTTGTCTTCTATTGTTATCTGGTTATCACGTACAAAATTTTTAAAACAATTTATTTACTAATAAATTATTAAAATAAATATTTTCATGCTTACTTTTTCATTCTTAATAATTCATCAACTTTATTCATTAAAGCTGAGAGCTTTACCACTGGGAGGTTAAAAATTAAATGTTTAATGAACATTCATACATATTCATTTGTATTATTTTTATTTCTAAAATCTCACGTTTTACAAAAAAAATGTAAAACCCAAGATAAAAGGAATTGAGTTTTTGCCACAAACATGAATTTTCTAATTCCTATATTATTGAAGCCCAATGTCGGAAACCTTAGATATTTCAAACTATTTATTCTGTTAGATAAAATAATCTGAGTTTGAAATAGCTAAGGTTGTGGCAAATACTCAATTCCTGTACTTAAAAAACAACAAATGTTTACCTACTTTTTTGACAAACATTTTTTTAAATTAGGGTTTACAGATTTTCGAAAAATGCTTTTCGCAAAATTTCAATAATCCATTCGATAAAGGATTCGAAATAAAAATTTCAAGCATTTTCGCAGAAATTTTTTGTCGAAAATCCAATATTTTTCGATAAAACTTTTAAAAACCGCGACATTTTAAATCAGAATTTTCGATAGAAATTATAAATTTTTATCTAGGAGGAGTAACAATGGAGGGTCTCAAGTTAAATATAGCAGGAAAGTTTTAATAAAATAAAAAACATTATTACATTTATTATAATTGCCATGATTTTTATATTTTTCAAAACTTTTTCTCAAAGACTATTCTTATTCTAGGTTTTCAATTGTAACAGAAAGAAAATTCACAAAGTAGTTAAAATGATAAACTTTTTTAACTTTGGGAAATTAAAGGTGAAATCTTTGCCCCGCAGAGACATTTGTCCGACGATTTGTGACATGCTAAAACTAATCTGCAGAGCTAGGTGTGACATGCTAAAACTAATCTGCAGAGCTAGGTTTGACATACTGAAACTAATCTGCAGAGCTAGGTTTGACATGCTGAAACTATTCTGCAGAGCTACGTGTGACATGCTGAAACTAATCTGCAGAGCCAGGTGTGACATGCTGAAACTAATCTGCAGAGCTAGGTGTGACATGCTGAAACTAAACTGCAGAGCTAGGTTTGACATGCTGAAACTATTCTGCAGAGCTAGGTGTGACATGCTGAAACTAATCTGCGTAGCTAGGTGTGACATGCTGAAACTAATCTGCAAAGGCTAGGTGTGACATGCTGAAAAAAAATTACGAAAAGATTATTCCAAACGAAAAATGTATCTGGGATAATCAACCGGTTAAAAAAGGTTCTGCCCTTAATTTCCAAAAGTTTTCATTGGTTATTCATTCTTCAGAACTTCAGGATATGAAAGCCTTTACGAATTGAATTTGATCCCTAAATTGACTTCCTACTTTTTATCTATTTTATTATCCAATTCCTACACTTCAAATCAAAATAGAGTTTGGCCAGCCAATCTAAAATAATTCTCTGTTTATAAAGCTAAAATCTTTTTTATGAAATGTAATTTCTTTAAAATGTGATTTATTTAAGATTACTGCTTATAAGATAAAAATTAATTCTCTTTCATAAAGTGTCATTCTTTAATGACTTTGGATCATCAAATATAAATCTTTTTAATGTCTTAATTTCTAAAAAATGTCTCACTATGAATATATCCAATGACAAGTTTTTTGATAATATATTTTAGAAGATTTTTTTTTCTAAAATATCTTCTTGTGAAATTTTCTTTTGTAAGTTTTTTCGTAAAACATGTTTCTATGAAATACCTCCTGCTGCCAAAACATTTTCTTTTAATTATTTCAACTCTCAAGTTGGAGTTCTGTTTATAAACGGATGGCTAGGTGGACGGGGAACCTTCGTTTACAAGGTAGACCTGGGCATTGTATTTATTGCATTCAAAATCATTTTAGTTTTTATTGTTTTAAAATTATAATTTGTTGCCTTCCTTTGCTACAAAGCTAAAGTGTATGTTTAGTGTTTTCAGTATATTACACACAGTTTTGCCACTTAAATAGTTGTAAATTGGTTCAGTCCAAACTAGGACCGTAAAGGTTGGCTCATCTCGGATATTCAAATTTACACCAGTTATGGAGAATATTTTTTCTCCAATTAAGCACCTCTTGAAGACATGTAATCAAATATGTGCTCGTTTTCTTGAAAACAATAAAACTTATAAAACTAATAAAAATCTTTTTTTGTTACCATAAAAAGCAACTTTAAAGAAGAATATAGTTCTTCTGTGTACTAGAGAATATTTAGTATTACACTGTAGTACAATACTAGAATTTTTTTTTTTCAATTATTACATCAGAATTTAAATTTAAATATGTACTTGAATTAAGGCTGTTTTGAAATAATAGATTTTTCTTTGTCTGTTATATTAACGTAAGCAGGCAACTTAAAAAATTGGATTTTGTATGTGTACTTAAAACTACTTATTATTGCACTATAGTACATTGCTAGAAGTACATTTATATGACACATTTTAAATCATAAACCTACTTTATGTCCATTTTCGATATATTGATGCCTAGCTTATTACTAGGGAGGAGTAGAGGATTCAGCTACAGCTGAAATCAGCAGGTAAATTAACCAAACTCAACGATACAGTTTTACCAAACCAAACCGAACAAGAACCAACCAACCCAAATAAATAAAACAATTACACCCAAACCAATCAGATCAAGCCACAATAAAAAAACCAAGTATTTCCAAATGTTTTAAACTACACCATCAAAACCTCCGAACCCAAAATTACTCCTTAATAGCTTGACACGAACAAATAGTAAGTTATATAATCAAACATTTAATATTTTTCATAAATTGTCATTTAAACATTGTCATATCAACTCCCCACCTTCGTTTCGACAACTGTGGGTATGTAGAATATTGATATTGATATAACCCTTGAAACATAGTTTCCCTTATCTTTTATACAAGGGATTTATGTATAGGCTATACTGTCGGTATAAAGAATGGTATATTAAGTCAGAATATAATATCTACAATATATTTTATATAATGTACTAAATATATATGCATATATTAATTTAGGCTTTCTGGATATCTAAGTTGTATTTTCAGTTTTTTTCTATTTATCTTTAATCATTTTTATGGCTTGAATTCAATTTCAAAATTTACATTGACAAATAAAGTTTCAAAACATTCAAGTTTCTGAACGTTTAATTTTTAAAAATTCGTTTTTAAACCTATTAAGTTTATAAACATTCAAGTTTATAAACATTCGAGTTTATAAACATTCAAGTTTCTGAAAATGTTGTTTGGGACCTCATATTACCCCTGGGAAAGTTTATGACTGATAAAAATTTCAAAAATTTGCCTGCAACAAAATTCGATTTTCATTAAATTTGAAAATCCACGAAATTATTATAAATCTGCGAATTTTATTTTTAATTTATTTTACAATGTATAAATATATAAATACAAAGAGATCAGAGCTGAAAACTTTAGAATGGTGGATATCAGGATTAAGGCTTAAACCACTCTTTTTCTTAATATCCAGTTTAAATATTGCTTGTTCTCCACATGAATTTAAACTCCAGAGAAGCAAAATGATCAGACAATTGGATATTTCATTCTAAAGTTTTCAGCTCAGGCTCACAATTGAAATAGAAGATGAGCGCGAAGGGCCCTAAAAGCCGAGATATTTATACATTTAAATATTTAAGTAATTCAAAGTGGTAAACTGTAACTTTGTTTTTGTAACGTTGTGCAAAAACTTTTTCTAGAGAACCATTTTACCATTTATTTTTATTTCCAATTTGACCTTAAATCTCAATTTTGAAATATAATCAATGGCATTGAGGTTCTTTTGGAGTAACTCAAACCACTCATAACTCTGTACAAAGAAGACTGTAGATTGAATTCAAGTTGTCTTTTCAAATTCAATTTGGCAATAGCTAGGCAATAAATATTTTTAATTGTAGAATGCAAGTCTGGCAGTGGCTGAGGCACGAGGTTCACATAGAGAATTCAATACTGCCGGTTACTAGGTAGAGATCAATTATCATTTAAAGCTCATTTAGAGATCAATCATCATTTACAGATCAATTAAAAAATAAAAGTAACAATAATAACAATTATGGTAATGACATTAAAAATAATAATGTTAATAATAAAATAGTGATAATAATAATAAATATTCTTTTTATGAAAAATAAATAATAATCCTACGAATAATTTCCAATAATGTCTGTAGATTGTGGAAAGTACTTGTGTATTGGATATCGGAATAATACACAACACATCGTATATTTATTATTTACTTTAATAATAATTAAAGGTAGTTTTTGGTATTTTCAGTAGCTGAAAGGTTTTCATGTGTTATCTTTAAATTAGCTGGTTGCTTATTAAATGTTGCATTAATGTTCTCTACTATTTAAAGATTCATTTTGAAAAATTTTTCATGAGTTTAACGAAAAAAAATCTTTCTTATTCAAGGTACCCATAATAGAAATGAAATTCAAAAGAAAAAAAACAAGAATATTTTCATTATTTTCTCTCCGAAGAAGATTTCAATAGTCACGTTGTGAATCGGACATACTCATTTTTTTAATGAGGTATCGCTTGAAAATATGTTGACAGTCTCTTAAAGATGATAAAAAGATGTCTAATAAAATAAATAAAATAACAACAAAATTAATAAAATACAATTTATTTTAGGTCCCTGGTCCTTGGTTTACTTGAAGAGGACACCTCATTAGGGTAAATATATATTTTCAAAAAATATTTCCCTCCCCCTTCCCCTCTCCCTCATATTACCTTACCTCCAAAACAGTAATACATAATATACTAGGTTTTACTGGCGCTTCGCGCCCATCTTCTATTTCAATTGTGATAATGTTCTCTTTGTGTACACTGAAAAACAAAACAAAACAAAAACGCGGATTTCATCAAAAAAATGTAATAGATTTTCAAAATTTTCAAACATTAAATGAAAATCGAATTTTGATGAAGACAAATTTTTGAAATTTGGATTATTCATAAACCTTCCCTGGGGTCATGTGAGGTCCCACAAAAAAATTTGGGCCTGATCGGTTTAGCCGTATTGACGTTTATTGGATACAAACAAACATCCCGACGCCTAGACAGACGAGACAGACAAGCAAAGTATATATATGAATTGATAACAACCTATAACTGTTTATTTTTCTTACTTTAAAGAATAAACAAAAAAAACAATATTTCCGCTGTTTTTCTTGTTATTACTGCTGTGTCGACAAAAACGAGAGAGAAAAAAACCAAAAGCAACATTCTAATCATGTCACTCGACCTCTTAGAAATAGAGCGTAATTAAACTTAATATTTAATTCATTTGTAACCCAATACAAAACATACATAGCACAAAATATACGTTAAAAAGGGTAAAGATAACCGTGAACTCCCAATTCTAACCGTTCCCCTCGAAACAATTTCATCCCCCACCACACGTTAAGATATCCAGATATAGTGCTATGCTATGTCAGCATTCACTTTTAAACATGCGTTCAACCATTTAATGAGATTTTTGTATTTTTTAATTTCGTGTTAGATGTTTTTTTTACGTTTTGACTATTTAAGTACTGTATAGAAGTTTATGAATAAAAAATACGTAAAAACCTTACGCACAGTACCTAGCATGACGTTAATCATGTATTTTGGTTTTCAATGTTAGAACACTTTCTACGCAGTTTCTCAATTATGTTCATTTTACTAATATTATCATGCATTAAGATAATTATTAATATAGCTCAATTATATGAGACATTTATTTATTATGCATTAGTTACAGCCTTACAGGGTCTCCAGACATTTATTTATTAAGTGCTTGCTTTTTTTTTTGGGGGGGGGGGGAATGTACAATATTAATAAATGCGTTAATAAATCTAACGTTTACGTCTTTTTTTTTCTTCCTAAAAACTAACAAACAAATTGTTTTCAGAAAAAAAATAGACGATATATGAGATACATTCTTACACATGTAAATGGTTCTGCATTGTTTACACATTTATAAATATTAATAATATATCTATATCTTTTAAATGGTGCTGCACCTTCCGATTCGAATCCTTCCTTAATCTTTAACTTTGAATTGTTGGTTAAAATTTGAACTGGCACTTGTTTGTTTACCGACATAGCTCAAATTCATTAAATTCAGTTCCAGGTCCACTTTTTAGATAGTTCTTTTTTTCTGGATCATGATTTGCATTGTCGGATTTCAACAAATCTTTTTACTGCGTTAACATGACTGGAATCTTTTTAAATTATTCATCTATCTATTTAAAGAGTTTTTATTCTATTTTTATTTATTTATTTGCCGTATCATATTCCAAGTTAAATAATTGCTGAATCATCCTCATGTGAGAATAAGTTTTTAAAGTATTCTGTATTTCAAGCAAAATCATATGTATAATTAATTACACAAGATAAAATTCTAAAATGTCTTTATGTAGTCAATGCCCTACTCCATGAAGGGTTCTCGAACACATATCTATTCAAGTACAATTCAGCTTCACTTAGCTAGCAATGTTAAAACCAGATACAATTTCTCATGAGCTATCGATGTCAACCAGACACTAGCTCGTATTCTATCAACGTCAAACCAATAGGCGCGATCTAGTCAGCTATTGATGTCAACACGGACACTATCTATTAATCTATCAATGTCAAACCACTGGGCACGATCTCATCAGCTATCGATTTCAACCGGACACGAGCTCATATTCTATCAACGCCAAACCAATGGGCGCGATCTTGTCCGCTATCAGTGTCAACATGGACACACTGATGTTGTAATCCTTTGATATTTCAAACTTAGATTATTTGATTTAACACAATTCAGAGTTTGTGGCAAAGACTCCATTCCTTTATGTGACATTACTAGCATGACTTTTTGACCTTGTGCATCTCCTTTATTTTTGATCAAACGCACGACTTAAACATCTTAAATTTAGTTTGTACAATCCGAAGTGAAGTTGGCAGTGGCACCCTGTATAACAATTGTTTTGTATTTTTTAATTTATAATGCACAATGGAGTGTAAGAATGTAAGGTTTAAATTCATAATGCACAATGGAGTGTAAGAATGTAAGGTTTAAATTTATAAGGCACAATGGAGTGTAAAAATGTAAGGTTTAAAGAGATGCTGAAGACGTAATTCCAATCCAACCTTCATTTCTAGAGTGGAATGTCCAATACCTTTTAAATATTTAAATGATTTAGAATGACTAAGATATCCTAGTTTCTCTATGTTAAAAATTGATTATCTCTAAAACCCTATTCCTAGTCAATACACTCAAAATGCGCATTTCTATGTGTAATGAAAAGATAAACAAGCTCGGCCTTCCTATAATGCCTAAACTTTGCCTAACTATTTGTATTACGTTTTCATATAGAACTAGTTCTAAACAGTGAACAGTCCTAATACGTAGCAGTAAAATTTGCATAAAAACCCTATCCCTACTCCCTACACCTTTAGTATAATCAAAATGCGCATTTCTATGTGTAATGAGAAGATAATTTTGTTCTATTAAAATCCATAACATTTGTAAATTGTGTTTCGAGACAACAGAATTATATAGTTTTGTATTTGTTACTATATTTATTCTTTATTCTATTTTTGCCAAATCATCCAAAAAAAAATTTTGTGTGTCACCAAATTGTATAAATTCTTTAATGCAAACTCATTGATGCAAATGTCAGATGAGCAAATTGTTTTTAATTTCATGGATTTGTCAAAGCATTTATATACTTTACAAAACTTGTCAATTTGACCTTTATAAGAAACATTTATGTTAAAGCTGTTCAAAACTATTTTCTATTTTTATCTTATTTAATAAAAAGTGTTCTGCACTTGACATATTTATCCTCCGGAAACATTTTATTACAGTCAACCCATCTCACCCTTCTTCTCCCACAGATTACAAGTTATCACGCAAAACATTAAATTTTTATTAAATATTATTATTAAAGATGGGGCATACTTGATTCACAACGGTAATGGGATCAGAGATGTCAGACATATCCTTATTAAATTATTTAACACTTTGCTACCTTTGTGAGCTTTCTCTACTCGATGATCAGTCAATTATAAGGTTTAAAGAGTACCATTGTTAATAAGACTTGTCCTCTTTGCATGGAAAGTTTCTTGAAATTACGCTTGCAGTTCCCTTAAAGGGTATATGAACATGGCATTAAAAGGATTTGGGCATTGCTATGTTCTATCTAAGAAGACCAAATGTGTTCTTGGTGTTACAGAAAACCGATATTCGTATTTTGTTTCTATATAATTTTGCAATTTCCAAAAATGTTCATCTAGCGGCGTGGAAACTGGAAAGGTGTCAATTAATCATAACTTTTTCGGACACGAAGATTGATTATTTTTTGTATAGCTCCAACTTGAAAACGAATCTTGTTTACGAGTTTCCAAAGTTAAAACATTTTCAATTAATAGAAAAAAAATAGAAAATATTTCATAAATTGTGTTTAACATCATTCAATTCAACTTTTAGAGCTGTTAAACTTTGAAGAGAAACTTTTAATGCATTTAGTTAAAAGATTAATAAATCTTTACAAACATACAAACTTCGTTAAACATTGTATAGTTATAAGAACCAGAAAACTGTGGAATATTATTATTATTAAAGATTTATTCACACACATTTAATATACATACATATATTAAAATCAAAGGGTGTAAACCCATTCTCGATGTTTCTAGTGGAATTGATATTCACATTTATCAAACGGGAACCTAAAAGGTTTCCTCTCGAACCTACAAGTTCTATAAGGGATTCAGCCCTAGTCCTCTTATAATTAGCAAACATTTTGCATGCTTTCTTGAGAGAGGTGTTGACTCCTCAACTGCTCTCAACTAACGAGGTTAAGACTGAGTTAATGAGTTTGAAGTTTTAAACCAAATATATTTAAGTACAATAGATGGCCACGTAGAATTTGCACACTCTCAGACCTCAGTACAGGGACCGAGGGAATGCAACCTCCCCCGCACAGCAATTCCGAACCTTATTTTACTATGCGCGTCCCGAGAGGGCTTCCGAACCTCCCCCAAACAGTTTTCCGGGAAGGATCTTCCATTCACAATCGTCAATTTCTTCTTAAAACGGGACTAATTTGATTATTTATTCCCTTTCCTCCTTCTATCTTATTTACATATTTTCCACTGTTTTCCTTTTCCTTCCTGTCTCTCAAATATCAATCTTTTATGTATAGCGTGAAACCTGAATATTAAAGATATTTGCAAAATAAAATTTAAAATAAAGTTTAAAATACAAAATTGGAAAGGAAGTGTTTCAGTATTAAATATTCTTGATAAACAATTTAGATTTACCTTTTCTTAAACGGGTATTCACAATTCACAAAGATACCATTCTAATTTTCGTTTATACAAAATTGATAAAGATATCCTTTATTTTGTACTCCGAGGGACGGGGCGATACACTTATTCAATCTTAAAAAACGGGAGGTGTTACGTTAGTAAGTTTGTTTATTTACAAAATTTCCTCTAAAAAAAGCTTGAAACTAACATTTCAGACACCCCTATCTCTGCTGGGGTACTTGAACACCAGGATATGCTGGGGGGGGGTCAATTTGACCCCCCCTCTATATCCCATGCTTGATGTCCAAATATGACAAATGATACATCATTGGAAAGCTCTTGTGCTCTACTTTTAGAATCTGCAAAAAAAATTTGAAAATTTGCAAAAATTGAATTTTTTATCGCAAAATCAAGTTATAAAGTAAAAATGTTTGCAAATTTCTTTTTGAATTACCATGTAAAAAGTTAAACTATTTTTTTAAAATTTATATATTTTTTATAGCTGTCTAATATTTCTTTTTGTGAAATGTTTAGTTTTAAAGTAAAAGTTTTTTTGTTTTGTCTGTATATAGAGAATAGAAATAAAAAATGGTTAGTTTGTGTGAAAAAAACACATGGTTGTAAATAACGTATAAATGTTGAGTCTTCTTCTGATATATTCATCTTAATCATATGTTTGAAACATAGCACGTCAAACTAAAGTACATTTCACGAAAGATTTAAATCTTAATGATAAAAAAATTCTTTTATATTACATATTACCAGAGACAAAGGAACTGATTGTCACAAATTTTAATTGTCTTATCACTATGTTTGCAACCCAATGTTCTAAATCTTTTATATTCCAAAACTTTGTATTCTGTTCTCTGAAAAATAATCAAAGTTTGAAATATCACAGGTTTATACCATCAGGTTGTAAAGATAAAGAAATGTAAAACTTTAATTTGTGGCAAATACTCAGTTACTTTGCTTTTCTCATACTTGTGCGTATAAGCAAAACTAGAGAAGTTACGATTACGGAGGCAAACAGTAGTTCCAGTAATTTTGCATAAATTTTACTTTCTCCTTCTGTCTAGTTTAAAATGATAGTTTTCAGAACTTTTACTTTAACAACAACTGGAAACTATGTTTAAGAATTAAACTGGGAAACTTTCTCATAAACAGTAATAACCAGAAAACCCTGAAAAAGAAGACGACATTAAAGCAATAATAACGTGTATTTTTTGTAGCCATAAAGCAAATCGTTTTGCTATAGTGATTTATTAAATCACTTATTAAATGAACTGGGTCGGTTTACACTGCACAATTGAGGTGTTTCATGTTCAATGTTTATAGGACTACAGTGAAACCCTTAATAACGAATACATTCGTTATTAAGGGTTTCACTGTATTATTTCTTATATTTAAAATTCCATGGGACTTTAAACTTGCTTTTTAAAGCAAAATAATTTATAACTCGTAATGAAGGAAAAATACCGAAGAAACCCTTCAGATAGCCCTTGTTCAATTTTTGGGTTATCATATTAGTTTCATCCTTTGAAGGCAATCCTGGATTTTGTAAACAAAAAACAATTGTTTATTTACATTCATACGTTAGAAATTTTAAGCATTGTTCTTATTCTATGATAGCATTTCAATAAGAGAAGTTACGATTGAAAACTTGTATATAATGTTTTTAATTATTTAAATTTTTCAATTAAATCATGAAATGGTGCCAAAAACTAATTTAGGAAAAATTAAATTTGATTATGATTTTACGCTGAATTTTAATGACTTTATACTATATCTAAAGAGCTAGATTGTATTCGATATAAAATACACTTAATTCCCTTTTTTTTTGATATTTTTAAAGTCTAGCTTTTCATGCTGCTCTATGGAGTTTCTGAGTGTCATAATCAACGATTATTTCCCGCAACATAAACTTAGGAATTATTATAGAAAGGAAAAATCACGAGAAAAAAAAATCAACAAATTATTTTTTAATTTTAGGTTATAAATTGACATGTGAAATAATTAGATTTTTTAATTTAGAAGCTGCGAGGTAGCGAAGAAAATCTTCCTCGATGTAGTTTTAGCCGGAAAACCTCCAGAATTCATCACAACATACTTGAACGATATCTACTGCAGATAGATACAAAGATTTGTTCGCCATTTTGGATTAGCTGACTATAGTGGCCATTTTGAAACCTGTTTTGATCGAAACACCTTTTTATTTTAAAAAAAGTTGATAAGTTAGTCTAAAATAGTATAAAATATATAAATTGGTATAAATATGATAAACATGAACCATGCAATATATTGCAAAATATTTTGGCAAACTTTAAATTTTTCTGCTGAAGAAGGTTAACAAAATTGGGCTGAACAAATTATGAGCGCTATAAATAAAATGATCTAGTTCTATCTGAATTAGTTCCAAAAATTTAATAATTTTATATTTCTAACACATAAACGAGCAAGCAAATGTCGAAGACTTTATCTTTTTCGTAGAAACGACCATTTTATAAGCATTGATTATCGTAAAGGTTTAAAAAGAGTACTTTGATGAAACTTTCAACCTTTAAATATAACGTCATGTATTACAATCTCAAAACTCGTAACCTTATTTAAATATTTGCAAAATGGCATTTATTATATATGAACTTTGCTTGTCTGTCTGTCGTCTGTTCGTTTGTATCCAATAAACGTCAAAACGGCTGATTCGGCCCAAATTTGGTTTGGGACCTCTCATGACCCAGGGAAAGTTAATGGATGATCAACATTTTAAATATTAGCCTTCAACAAAATTCGATTTTTATTAAATTTGAAAATCCACGAAATTATTTTTATAAAATCCGCGAACTTTTTTTTGTTTAATTGTTTTACAATGTATACAAGAAGAAAATGTTAACAATTGAAAAAGAAGATGGGCGCGAAGCGCCTTGAACGAATAGTAGATCATAATTTTGCAGTAATTCTCTCTCTCAAAAATTGTGTTAATCCAGGGGCGTAAA